GGTTTTATTTAATTAATAGGTTTCAATTTATTTCTTAAAAATCCATAAAAAATCAAATAATTTATTTTTTGAAACAAATGGAAGACTAAGTTTTTATTTGTACTTTTAAATAATAATTTTTTATAATATATAAATAATAATTAAAAATTTTTTCTACTCATAATTCTTGTTAAAAGGTTTTATTTAATTAATAGGTTTCAATTTATTTCTTAAAAATCCATAAAAAATCAAATAATTTATTTTTTGAAACAAATGGAAGACTAAGTTTTTTTTTTTTTTTTTAACATAATTTGAGGACTGTTACTATTTAGTGGTAGACTAACCCACTGCTCTTTCACTTAATTGAAATTTATAAAAATATATATTTTGAAAGAGATGGAGTACTATATATATATGTGTGCATATTACACAATCTAAGGACTGTTAATATTTAGAGGTAGACTAATCCACTATTCTTTCCATTAAAAAGAAAACGGGAATGAATGAACATGGACATCTTCCTGGCAAGATAGAGAATAGGATAGGAAAGGATGGAGTGGAGTCGGCGAGTCGCTGGACTGGAGTGGAAGTTCCATTGGGGGATGTGTTCCAACCTGAAAATTCCATTCCATTTATCCACTTTTGAGATGGATCTTGATTCTATAGTTGGTTTCCATCCAAAATTCAGAACTCATCCGATCCGTTTGTCATCAGCGATAATACTAATACGTTCTTCCCTTCTGCATCGCAAAGATTGTTACAAATGATTTCATATATATATTAAATTAAATCAAATACCAAAAACATTTCAAAACGATAGTTTAAATCATGACATCCTAAAACTCTCATCAAAGAAAAAAAAAAAAAGAAGAGAAGAAAGTCTTTTACTTTATTTTTAATTTTTAATCCATTCCCCTATCTAAATGAGAAAAAAGAAAGAAAAATAGAAAGACATGGCATTCTTCCATTCTCTTCTATTTTCTCAAGCCAAGTACATTCCTTATAGTCTAGTGATAAAATTATTTATACTCTTACTATTATTATAGAATTCAATCCCTAATTTCTAGATACTAAACAATAATAATGATAATAATTTAAGGAATATGTGCTTTCCATTAAAAAAAGAAAAACCACAAATAATAGCACAAATGCACAATCTCTATGGCCTCTACTAACATGCAGGGGAAACGTCAATGGGAATAAGAAAGATCATTTGTTTCAAAGGAATAAAAGAAATATATATATTTATAGATATATGATAAGGTGTTGGCAACCACAACTGTATCAATGAATTACAGCATCATTTAACCCGTCTACTTGCCTTGACTAAATGCTAGAGATACCAAAAGTTAACAACCTTGCCCAAATCCACATCATCAAGAAACAAACACAAATCCACTGCTTGATAGTGCTGGAGAGACCATAACCCATATTTTCATTCTACTAAAAAAATATTCTGATAATTTTCCCAACTGGCCAAGGCAAGCATTTAGCCAAAGGAAAAAAAAGAGGAAGCAACACCATATCCTTGATTATGCTTCAGTAGCCACCACCCCTTGACCGGCCACCCATCCTTCCACGGCTATGGCCATAGCCTCTGCCTCCTCCACCTCTACCCCTTTCATATCCACCTGTCAGAGGGTTAAAACAAAGAGGAGTACTTGGTGGTCAGCTATGAATTCAAATTAACATCTCCTTGGCTAGCAAAATTAAGATACCTGCACTGAGATAAACCACTCTCCACAGCCCAAACTCTAAAATAGAAAATTCATCGAAATGACCAATCATTTGTTTGTATATGCTATAAATGAAGCAAACTTACCACGATAGCTCCAACCTCTTCCTCTGCCCCCACCTCGACCCCAGTTTGAAGAACCCCCATTATCTATAAGAAAAGAGAAAGTATGAGGCACGTATTCTTTCAATAATTTATTATTCTGTTGCATGAATCTTTGAACTGGAATATCGCAAATCATTTTCACAACAAAATTCAAAATTAATAATTTATACTTTAATGTTTCCATATCCACCCGTAGCGTTATCTGTAAGAAATGAGAAAGTACGAGGCAGGTATTCTCTCAATATTCAACAATTACTCTGTTGCATCTTGCATGAGTAATTGTTTGTACGACTGTATCTGTCAATTCTTTACAATTAACAAGACCTATTTTTGCATCAGATTTAGCTTTCAACAATGACCTGCTTAT